TGTTTTATCCATTCAATGAATTTTACTAGAGAAAGTCACGTTTTCATAAATATAAATTAATCTTGATCGTCAACTTAAAATATTACATGAACTATATTTATAAATTTTAAAATAATTATTATGAAAGTCATAATTTTATAAATATAAATTAGTCTTTAATCGTTTATGTACCGTGGTGGTCTCCCATTGGCCGACCATATTGGCCAAGTTAGCTTAAGAGCGAGTGCTGCTTTAAATTACGAGGTCAATATGTGCTGTCACTGTGACTGTGGATTGTATCAAACTTAAACCAAAAAAAAAAATTGTGGACACTTAAAATAATTGATATCTAGTGTAGAAGTGTTTGAATAATTTTTAATAATCAGAAAAAAAAACACAGAAACCTCTTTTTTTTTTTTTTTAGCAAACAATGCTAATTTCCCTTAGCAACATTGTTTTTAACAAAGATATCATTCCTAGAGTTGAAAACTTCCATGACGAAATAGGACCTTGTCAATGGGTCTAATGAAATTTACAATGTTACTTTGGATTCTAATGTAATATAAGTGTGTTTATTGCTAGAGACAAAGTCACCTTGAAAATTAGTTGAATGGGTCTACGTATTGATCACACACCTAGCTAGCAAACTTAATAATCACTCTTTTTTTTTTTAATAAAACATGAGAGATTATCTGATTGTTTTTTTTTTTTTTAATATTAATATGTATACGCTACATTAGTGTTTATTTCAATGGTTACTTCTTCAATGAAAGAAAGTCAATAGTTTAATTGATTAACTAAAATACTTCAGTGATAAACTTGGTCTTGTCTATTTTAGTGCTGGATATCTTCCTTAGGTTCTGGTCAACTCCAACATCTGTTAAATATAAAGAATTCTCGAGTACAACTATTTTTTAAAATTTTCATTATTTTTTCTGTTGAGAAAATTTCAAAAGCCTTGGAAAAAAAAAAGGTCATGACCAATTCACATGTGTATAGAATAAGAAACAAATGTGGAGGGTAACCAAATGTTAGCTTAAGAGCGAGTGCTACTTTAAATTACGAGGTCAATATGTGCTGTCACTGTGACTGTGGATTGTATCAAACTTAAACCAAAAAAAAAAATTGTGGACACTTAAAATAATTGATATCTAGTGTAGAAGTGTTTGAATAATTTTTAATAATCAGAAAAAAAAACACAGAAACCTCTTTTTTTTTTTTTTTTAGCTTTGGTAATTAATTAATATGTCGCATAAAATTATTTTATTAGTATTATTATTAATTAAAATATTATATTAGATCAACTAATATTATAAAATTATTTTAATATGTGATTATTAATTATGTTATCAATGATCATAAAATAATAAAATAATATTTTTAAAATTATAAAGATTAAAATAATAAACTTTTAATTTAAAAGACTAAATAATTTTTATATTTTAGTGACTAAAAATACATGTTTTAAGTTTGAGGGATTAAAAGAACATTTATAAAAATTAAAATAATATTTTTTTAAAATTATATAGACTAAAAATATAAATTGTAAATTTGGGAATTAAAAATTTAATTATTTTAAATTTAGAGGACTAAAAATATAATTAATCCATAAATTTATTTAGCCTCCCTCATTTTTCAGTGTTTAATTTAAACGTTTTATTACCTGATTAGTGTGGCTATGCATGTTCTACTGTGTGGCTGTCCTCGATAACAAACTTTTTCTTGCGTTTATTCTTTTAGCCAGCAATAAATTATTTTCAAGCCTTTTACGTATTTAACTGATATTGTCATCCTATTATGTTCTTAATATAGAGTTTCTTATATTGTCCTTAAATCTCAGCAATTATGATCTTTCATATAGTGGAAATGGATTATTTTACACGTATGTTTAAAAGGGGAGAAAGAGGCTTTTTCCATGAGCATGAGAATAAGGAACTAATGCAAGATTGCATGCCATTGGAATTCCAATTACTTCGATGCATTGATTGGTTGAGAAGATTTAAGAACTTAAGAACTCAAATTGATGAATTGAAATCGTTCAATATTATAAATCGGTATATAATATAATCTCCTTTAAAATATAGCAATGTATCTTGCACATGGCAGTATGATGGTTTATGCTCATGTTAAATATTAAATATTTAGAATTGCTACATGTTACATGCCTGTTCATGGTAAATTTTTATGGTTTTCTTGATAATTAAAATATTTCCACATTTTTATAAGCATGTGATAAAAATAAGTTGCACAAAGATGATATAGAATATGTATGTGTGGAAACAATATAAGGGGGATGTATTGGTTTAGGATTTCGTAGGATTTTAAAAGACTTTTTTTGAGTAAAAAAGTCCATTGGTATTCAATCAGGATTTTATGTCACTTAAAAACAATCCAGTGGTATTCAATATGGATTTTTAGGATTTTTTAAAGAGTCCATTAAAATCCACTGGTATTCATTTGAGATTTTTTACAACTTAAAAACAATCCATTGGTATTCAAAAATTTAAGGATTTTAAAGGATTGTTGTGTGAGAGGGATTTTGAAAGACTTTCTAGTGTTATCTATAAATACCAGATTCATAAAACAATCCCATCCAAACCCATCGGATTTTGAAGGATTGTTTGAAATGATTTTTCAAGTGTTTTAAGAATTTTCAAGTGAGTTTTTCATCTTTTTTTTCTATGCTCCTGTCTTCTCCATTTTTTCTCTACTAATAATACTACACTATTGTTCATTGCTCATATATAATACTATTCTCATACCATTCTCCTATTTTGTGAAACTCTAATATGTAAATGATAGTGTCATTGACTTGTTTTATTTTTCTGTTCGTTCTCTTTAATTGACTTACTTTATTTTATTCTATGTAGTTGAATTTGTTCCTTTATATAACACAAAAAAATACTTGAAATTTTAACTTTTAAGTGGTAATTTTTTTTATGACACACGTTAAGAAAAGAAAAAGGTGAAAGATGAAATTGATATCATAATCTCAACAATATATATATATATATATATATATATATATATATAAAAGATGAATTTGTTAGGGTTTTTGTGAGTAGAATGAGATAAAAATGGATCTTAGTAGGGGGAAGAACCCTCTTAGCATAAAAATTGCGAATTCTCTCTTTCCCTTGAATTTGTTACTCTTATCCCTCCTCCTTTTATGACTCAACAATTATTTTATTTTTTTTACTATGAATTTTTCTTTTTTATTTTTATATTATGAAATTAAGATTTTTTATATTTTAAAAAAAGAAAATTAACATAAGACATTGCAATATCTAATTTTTTAGGGTTTAGGATTTATGCCTTCATTAACTTATTTTTTAAAAAAGAAAATATTGTTAAAATATTTGTTAGAATAATTTATATTTATAAATATCGTTAAAAATTATCATATATATATATATATATATATATATTCTCTATATCTAAATACTTCTGTTTATATAAAAAAAATTATATATCTAAATATTTTTTCAGTATCGAATATACTAATTTTTTTATATAAAAAATTATCTTATGTTTCTATATTTTCGTTTTTACATTTTTTTTTTAAAAACTGAGGTATTTGATCCATTTGGATAGCAAAAATATATTCGATCTTGTATGATGGTGTGCTTCTAAAAATAATAATATAATTTTATTGATTTTGTCTATTATCCGTAATTATTTATATAACTATTTTTTAACATATATTGTTTTAGTAATTCAAATGGGAGATTCACAAGGAAATAATAAAGAAAAATGAAAAGAGAAAGAAAACTATGAAGCTTGGATTAAGGATGATTCCGATGAATTGTTACAATTGATAGTGGATGCTATAAAAAGAGGATAGAATATTATAGAGAATTATTATTATTATTTATCTAGACATTATTTTTTTTATTTATTATTTTTATCTTTGACTCTTTTTAAATTTGAATGTATAATTTTTTTTAAATCTTATCAAATGTCAAAACTCCACAAAATCCCACAGAATCCATTAAAATCCTAATTTAAAAGTCTTGCAGAATCCATTAAAATCCTGATTTTAAGTCTTGTAGAATCTTGCAAAATCTTAAAAGTCATGAAAATCCTGCAAAGTCTTTTAAAATCCGCAGGATTTTTTTTAACTAAAAAAGTCCTTTAAAATCCTAATCCAATACACCCCCCTAAATTATGTGAATTAGTTAACGTCTTATGATGAACGTGTTATATAATTAAACTGTAAATAAAAGAAACTTACATTGTAATTATATCTTTGTGCAACTCATTAGCATGACCTCATTAAAAATGTTGCCTCCATTCATTTTAATATGTTGTAGCAACCGACAAAGTTATTAAGGTGTGAAAAATGTATCTCGAAATTTTGCGTAATTGAGGCTCAGATTTTATGTTTAGGAGTTGATTATATCTAAAGAATATAAGATCACTCTACGATATTTGTTGTATAATTTGTTATATTCAAATTATCACAACTTAAATATCTCGAATTAAATTATTGGATTAATAAAGTGTAGCAACTCAGTCGCGATGGAACGGCGAAAAATAAATTGAAAAAGAGGAGTCATCACCAATATTATTTTTTACGGAAAAACACTGGAAAAATCATAAAATAGAAAATAATCTACGAAAACTAAATTTTTGAGTTCGGGAGTTGATTACGTGTGAGGAAGGTATTAGCACCTCACAATTAGGTCTAAGGCGGCAGATTACTCTCATCGAATGTTGTAGGTTAAGACTACTGCCCGGACCTTTAGCACGGTATCGCTAAGGGTTCTTCGGCGGCGGTCTCCACTACCGGAACAGTTTACTACTCTTACAGTGGATTGGACTAGAGAAATTGATGTTACGCGGGGATGCATAGAAATAGAATATATAAGTGTAAGAAACGGCGTGACTCTGCTGAGTGCTGAGGTAAAGGTTTGTTTGTGGCCTGGCTCACTCTCTCAGGCCTCAGCCGTATTGGCCACCAACCTGAGTCTGACGCCGCTAACTCTTTTTTCTTATTTACTTTTCCCT